GGGAATATATCTATGATCTTGGAGTAAGTAAAAAGGTTTTAAGTAGGAAACAGAAAGCATATACCAAAAAAAGAAGAAATTAATAGACTTCAAATGATATCAGTAAAGTAAGTAGGTAAGCCACAGACTAAGAGAAGACATTAGCAATACATATAAAAGACTCATATCAAAAATACATATAGAACTATAAATCAATCAAGACAAATAACCTAATTTAAAAATGGAAAAAATATTTGAATAGACATGTCACAAAAGCAAACATTTAAATGGCTAACAAGAATACTAAAACATGCTTAACCTCAGCAGACCAACAACGCAATGGTTTGGTGAGGACATGGAGAAACTAGAACTTTCATAAATTGCTGTTAAGGATGTAAACTGGTTCAACACTTTTACAAAACTCATATGATTCCTGATGTAAGTGGAATCATACAGTATTTGTCATTTTGTGACTGGCTTATTTTATTTAGCGTAACGTCCTCAAGATTCATACATATTGTAGCTTTTGTCAGAATTTCTTTCCTTTTTAAGGCTGAATAATATTCGGTCCATAAATATTTTTGAATGAATAAATTTGCTATGACAGTAGTTTATACAAATTCTAAAAATCTGCCTCTTCCTTTCAAATATACCAAAACTTCCAAAAACTATAAAATCTAAGATATAGAAAAGCTAACAGGAGGGAGGAAATAATTATATTCAAGAACATGGCTCACCTTCTTTGGATCAAGATTACCAAAAACTGAATTGGCAAGGGGACAAACTTTAGACAGTGAACAACCAATCGTCATGATCTCCTTATTTCTATTGATATTCTAGAAAGAACAGATATAAGATTCAGTAAAATATTATTTAACACTTGAGGGTTCTACTAAGCATGACACTGAAAATATTTTAGACATTTGAAATTAAATCAAATTCTTATATCATTATTTTTTCATAATTCAAATGGATTATTTATAAGAAATGAGACTAGGTTACAGAAAAAGTTTATTTCCCAATGAGTTCAAGTTACTTG